AGTCTCATGGACACATTGGGAATTGAACCCAACACCTCTCGCATGCTAAGCGAGCGTGATAACCAACTACACCATGTGCCCGATAAGATAAGATCCTGGCGCTCCCATAGAACAGATTTTGCGTGGATGAGTGTGCCTACAGTATACCTCTGCACCGTGCACGACGACGAAGAGCCTAATCTGGAAGGGGACGAGAGAAGGTGGGTATATATATGCATCTCATTAACGATACCATCTCCTACACGTGTATATACACCTCCACTCAAACCTCTACCATCTTCTATACATGCATCACCACCTCACGAACTCCTTCCCCCCACACCCACACCAACGCCCGCACCCGCACCCGCACCCACACCCACACCAATCCCCAACATCCCCAGCATCCCCCCCACTACCTCCCCTGCCCTCCCACGTAGCGCACTCTCAGCCCGCGCCTCATCATTGTCCTCGTGCACACCTCCATCTACGTCTCGTGGTCCAACAGCGCCAGACTTACGTCTGTTGTGATGCCTCCGGGACTTGCGCCGTTTATTAGTTGGTCGACGGGGGAGGGAGGGGTGGGTGGAGTCCTGCTGCTGAGGCGGTGGGGTTGATGTGGATGCGGAGGTGGGCTTCTCGGACTCGGGGTGGGAAGAGGGAGGTAAGACAGCCTGTTGCTGTGGTGGAGGGACGTCCGTCTGGAACGGATATCCCCCTTTCTGGCGGACAAAGTTCGTCCATGCTTCCCATACCCCCGGTTTTCCCTCCTCCTCTCCCTCTAGTGTATTCTCGTCGACGTCTTCCCAAGCCCCATCAAGCATACTCCCCCCAACCCGCTCGTCCCACTCCCCTTTTCTCCCCACCCTCTCTCTGAGTTCACCCCTCCCCACCGCCCTCCCCATAGTCCGCAGCGCACCGACACTAGTAAGCGCGTGTCGGGCGCCTTCGGCTGCGGCCATTTGCAGGAGGAAGAGTTGGGAGAGCGGGTGTTGTGGGGGGAGAGAGGGTGGGGTGGTGAGTTCTGGTGGGCCGAGGGACGAGGTGGGAGGTTGGGAAGAGGTGAGCTGGGCGAGTTGGGTGGGAGAGGGGGGAGAGAGGAGGGAGGTTAGGAGGGGGAGGAGGAGGAAGGCTGACAGGCGGAGGAGGAGGAGGACGTCGTGCCACTGTCAAGTATAACTAACTCGTCAGATCCGATACGTCTGAGGGAGAGAGGGAAGGAGAGACGAACCATAACAAGGCCCCCACTCTTCCCATCCCACCCAAACGGCAACAACCCCCAAAACGCGCCTTCCGTCTTTACAGACCCAGCATATGCATGAGCCCCAGTCCGCTCATCGAACTTCACTTCGCCGGTTATTTTATACCCCGCTTCGACGACCATACCCGCCACTAACGCGCCGACCATCGTTTTGCGTAGGGTTTCGAGGGCAATTTCGGGTCTTCTTATGCGGAGTCGGGTGATCCACGATTGTCTTTGTTGAGGCTGGGGTTGGGCGGAGTTCGGTGTGGGGTTGAAGAGGAGTCGGTGTGAGAACGGGCGGGATGTGAGGAGGCCTATGATTATGATAGACACTGCATATGAAAGGAGATGACCTGGGAGGGCAGAGATCATGTAGTCCTCGGGTTGGGTACAGTGTTCGCAGGATACCATTACGTCGTGGCCTAGACTACACCCCCATAGTCCACATCCTGTCAGCTCTAAGTTCCCTTTCAAATGCACGGGAATACGCACCGCACATACATAACCCTCGCATCATACGCATTAAACCGGGTAAGCAAGCTCAGAAGATGCAGGGGGAGGGTGACGTCGTTTGCTGTGAGCACTGCGCGGAGTGCACCGCGGATTATTGGGACTGGTGCGGTGAGGGGGAGGGAGAGGGCGGTGAAGAGGTTGGGAGGACGGAAGAAAGCGATGTGGGAGAG